ATTCAAAACAATACAAAATTTTTATTGCATTGCTGATTATAGACAATTCTGATAGTTGAAATTATAAATATATTATTACAGTTAATAAAAACTGTTAAAATATTAATAATTAAAGATGATTAATTAATGACAGAGTTTATATACAAAGAATTCACTAAATTTTATATAAATTAACAATTAGAAACTTAAAATAAATTAATCATATTAATAGGGTCTGTTTTGTTAAGTTTAATGTTTGAAGTTTTTTACACTAAACATTAAATTAAATAAGACAAATTCATACTTGTTTTGATGAAAATTTATGAAAAATTCTCCATAATTCAGCTACATCAGTTGCAAATGTTACATCAGTATCTAAGACAATTACCTAAAAAATAAAACACACTAAATTAAATTTAAGAATTTATATTATAAGCATTACATGTAGTCGATATACAAAGACAATTCATAAAAATCCATTAAATATCAGAGTAATAACAAACAAACTAGATGTAATTTGATTTTCAAATACTGTAATTAATTACAGTAAATACAATTTGGAACTTTGTCTTTTATAAAAGTAATCCTAAAATAAAAGGTGACTTAATAAACCAGCAACAAGTTGCTCAACTTCCCCAGCACCATCTATTATCATATTTTATTTAAAAAACTTGTTATACTTTTAACTATTATATAATGGCAAAAAGCTTACTTTTCAGGGATAAGTTTTATAAAAAATAGTAAATGTTAATAACATCTTGTTCTTATATGTTCTGAATTTTTGAATTTAAATATATGTATTCCATTTTTGGAACACAAATTTTCCAATTCTATAATTCAACCTGTAAAATCTGTGTTATGATTAACTAATTATTTTCTGAACACGTTTAAAGTTAATAACAAGTAAAATTGTCATTAAGTCTGACCCTACTGGAGATACACAAGACACACCCCTTGACTTTAACCACCAAAATTTAATAGCATCAATCCTCCTAATAAACAAACCTCCCTGCAAAAGTTCCAAAGTTTTCAATAAAAAGTACAGGAGTTATTAAATTTCTAACAGAGTGAATAAAATTGTACCCTCACACACACAAATTATGCACAATTGTTTTTTTTCTCATTTCTCAATGTTTCAAGGTATCCCAAGTCCAGAAATGTAAAAATCTCGGGGGTCACTTTTTGCCAGATTGCCATACTTTCCCTCTGTATAACAGCCAGAAAAGTAAAAAATACAGTAGTAGAAAGAATTTTAAAACATTTTGGTAAAAATAAATTTCAATCAGGTATTCTAGAAAAAAACTGGGAAAAGATTACTTTATATATATACATATTATAATTTTATTACAGTTTAAACAAAGACAATATTTAAAACAAATATTTGAAAACTTATTTATATGAAAATTTAAAAAATTTAACTTATTGTCAAATAATGGTAACAAATATGAATAACAACCAATTGCAGCTAATAAACTAACTTTATTATGATTATTAATATATTTCATTTATTTTAGTTGATCCCACTCCATAATGATAATATGTTGAACTTGTTGAGAACACTTGTAAATAAATTTTCAAGTTTGTTTAAATTTCTTCTTCTTTTTAATATTGTAATAATACTATAAAATAGGTACTTTTTATATTCACTTATATACTAAGTTATCCAATGTTCTTGAATTAACAATTATCAGACATGTATATATCAGTTATTAAATCTAAAACTCGCAATGCGTCTGCATGGTAAGCAGGAGTTGTGGGTTCAAGTCCAGCTCCAGGCCAATTTTTTCTTCCAGTATTTCTAAATTATNTATATACAAAGAATTCACTAAATTTTATATAAATTAACAATTAGAAACTTAAAATAAATTAATCATATTAATAGGGTCTGTTTTGTTAAGTTTAATGTTTGAAGTTTTTTACACTAAACATTAAATTAAATAAGACAAATTCATACTTGTTTTGATGAAAATTTATGAAAAATTCTCCATAATTCAGCTACATCAGTTGCAAATGTTACATCAGTATCTAAGACAATTACCTAAAAAATAAAACACACTAAATTAAATTTAAGAATTTATATTATAAGCATTACATGTAGTCGATATACAAAGACAATTCATAAAAATCCATTAAATATCAGAGTAATAACAAACAAACTAGATGTAATTTGATTTTCAAATACTGTAATTAATTACAGTAAATACAATTTGGAACTTTGTCTTTTATAAAAGTAATCCTAAAATAAAAGGTGACTTAATAAACCAGCAACAAGTTGCTCAACTTCCCCAGCACCATCTATTATCATATTTTATTTAAAAAACTTGTTATACTTTTAACTATTATATAATGGCAAAAAGCTTACTTTTCAGGGATAAGTTTTATAAAAAATAGTAAATGTTAATAACATCTTGTTCTTATATGTTCTGAATTTTTGAATTTAAATATATGTATTCCATTTTTGGAACACAAATTTTCCAATTCTATAATTCAACCTGTAAAATCTGTGTTATGATTAACTAATTATTTTCTGAACACGTTTAAAGTTAATAACAAGTAAAATTGTCATTAAGTCTGACCCTACTGGAGATACACAAGACACACCCCTTGACTTTAACCACCAAAATTTAATAGCATCAATCCTCCTAATAAACAAACCTCCCTGCAAAAGTTCCAAAGTTTTCAATAAAAAGTACAGGAGTTATTAAATTTCTAACAGAGTGAATAAAATTGTACCCTCACACACACAAATTATGCACAATTGTTTTTTTTCTCATTTCTCAATGTTTCAAGGTATCCCAAGTCCAGAAATGTAAAAATCTCGGGGGTCACTTTTTGCCAGATTGCCATACTTTCCCTCTGTATAACAGCCAGAAAAGTAAAAAATACAGTAGTAGAAAGAATTTTAAAACATTTTGGTAAAAATAAATTTCAATCAGGTATTCTAGAAAAAAACTGGGAANCACATTTACAAGAGCAAAGAAAAAGGGCGTAATATAAATTTCCGTGAATCGAACAAAATAGCGTCGGCATGGAAAGCGGCAACTTTAAAATTATAAAATTATATTTATGAGCATGCGCAATCGAGAAGAACGTGCAGTTTGGAATCTCCGTTATGCAAATTTGAAATATATTTCGATTGATAATTCGACCCTGATGAAGGTTTGTGAATCAGACCGAAAACGTTCGACAGATGTAAACTAGACTGCATTTTAAAGGTATAGTGAATTTTTGTCCAATGTACATGTTTTTACATTTAAAACTTCAGTCTCAACCTCGCTATTATTATAAATATTTTTATTAATGATTAAATATTAATACATATAACATAACTCCATTTAGACTGTCTTCAGTGGTGCAATTATACATTTCACATCATTTTACAAAATATTATATATACAGTATATAAAACCTCAAATGTTAATCTCTGTATCTAAAAAATTTTAATGAAAAATAATTAATATAGACTAGTGTAATTTAAAATAATTCATAGCAAATTAACAACAAAATACCTTTAAAGAACAATAGGCACTTTTCTTTAAGAGTTAAAGGTTAAACTTAGATTCCTCATAATACATAAAACACATCTGTCTAAGTGGCCATTCACTAATAAGGTGAGATCATGGCATAATTTCAAAAATGCTGTTTGAAGAAACAAATGCTTGTGTAACTATTTCATACCAGAACTTTCTAAAAGTGAAAACTCTATTCTTGCTTTTGTTTATGCACTATTTTGCAGTTAAAAGTTTAATTAATTTTTACTTATTTGTCTCATCAATTTTATTTAATAAACATTGTTTTTGTTCTGAAGAATGTCATCTACTAATTTTGCTGTAATATTTTTCCTGAGAGATTTAGGATTTTCAAATAATGTTCTTCCTATCCTATTTTGTTTTTTGTATGAAATTTGCTTCCACTCAAACATTTGATATCAGTGAATGAGTAAGCATCAAATGAAGCCAATGTAACTTTTATTATATTAATAATCTATATATACATATAATTATAACATAATTTTTTTCAATTCTTTCTCTTCTAACAGTCAATTATATTTGAATGATCAGTTTGAATTTGTAACAAATTATTTCAGAAAATTCATACTCCTTTTTTTCATATTATAGTGAAGCAAAAATCTGAACATGAAAAATCTAAATTTGACCATTGAAAAATCAATATTAATTTACATTTATATTTGAAAATCTGGACAAATTGAAAATCCAGATAGGTCCAGTCTCAATTAGCATAGATTTTCAATAATTTATTGTAGTTTGAATAATCATATTTTCCACAATAAAGCATAATAAAATATTTTATTATTAAAATTTAAAGTAAAATATCAATATAACTAGTATTTTATTACCATATTTTGATTTTCTAACAAATAATAATCTAAGTTTAGCTTTTTTTTTTAAAGTGAAAAATATGTATTAAAAGTTTATACATTGAACTGTATAACAGAATTAACATTTTTGAACAATTTATTCTTTTATTCTAAGTAAGTCTTCTGAAACTGAACTCTACATAATTTGAAAACATTTTAATTTTTAATGTAAGCCCTTTCTTTGTGAAAAATATGAGTGATATTTCAAGTACTAAGTATTTCATTTCATATTATGTCAATTTTATTGTATTGTCATAACTGAAGTTGCATACTGATGCAAAGTTTTTAATTTGTTTNATTAAATATAGTCGAAAACGTTTTTAAATTTATTAAATACGTTGCTGGAAATAGTAAGGTGGTTTGATTATGTTAAAAATATTTTATTTCAAAAAGTTATTTTAAGCCACTTTTTTTCATATTAAGACCAAGTACAGGTGTTTAGAATGCCAAAGTAACTGTAAAAAATTTTTATGTAGACATTATTTAAACTAAATAAGTATTATTTTTATTGCAATAATATTAAGTTTTTAAAAATCAAACTAATTTATAAATTTAAACTGAAAATTTTCAGGCTTCTATCATTTAGCTATAAATTAACAGATAAACATAATGACATAATTTTAAATAAAGCAAAAATACTTACTAATGCTGGCCAAGGTCTATGATTTTTCCAAAGTTTCCCTAAATACCAATCACTTTGATTTTCAACAAGTCCAATTGCCTAGGGAAAAATTATTGCATGAGTTGTATAAAAATAAATATTAAAATTAAATTATTTATTATTTTAAGCACAGATTTAAGCCTTTAAAACAAACCAATTGAAAAAACATTTTGGATGCTAAAATATGATTAAAAAAATTTGAATGTAATAAAGATTTTTGTAATTTGAACATTTTGGTATTTCTAAAGTATAACGATTCAAAACAATACAAAATTTTTATTGCATTGCTGATTATAGACAATTCTGATAGTTGAAATTATAAATATATTATTACAGTTAATAAAAACTGTTAAAATATTAATAATTAAAGATGATTAATTAATGACAGAGTTTATATACAAAGAATTCACTAAATTTTATATAAATTAACAATTAGAAACTTAAAATAAATTAATCATATTAATAGGGTCTGTTTTGTTAAGTTTAATGTTTGAAGTTTTTTACACTAAACATTAAATTAAATAAGACAAATTCATACTTGTTTTGATGAAAATTTATGAAAAATTCTCCATAATTCAGCTACATCAGTTGCAAATGTTACATCAGTATCTAAGACAATTACCTAAAAAATAAAACACACTAAATTAAATTTAAGAATTTATATTATAAGCATTACATGTAGTCGATATACAAAGACAATTCATAAAAATCCATTAAATATCAGAGTAATAACAAACAAACTAGATGTAATTTGATTTTCAAATACTGTAATTAATTACAGTAAATACAATTTGGAACTTTGTCTTTTATAAAAGTAATCCTAAAATAAAAGGTGACTTAATAAACCAGCAACAAGTTGCTCAACTTCCCCAGCACCATCTATTATCATATTTTATTTAAAAAACTTGTTATACTTTTAACTATTATATAATGGCAAAAAGCTTACTTTTCAGGGATAAGTTTTATAAAAAATAGTAAATGTTAATAACATCTTGTTCTTATATGTTCTGAATTTTTGAATTTAAATATATGTATTCCATTTTTGGAACACAAATTTTCCAATTCTATAATTCAACCTGTAAAATCTGTGTTATGATTAACTAATTATTTTCTGAACACGTTTAAAGTTAATAACAAGTAAAATTGTCATTAAGTCTGACCCTACTGGAGATACACAAGACACACCCCTTGACTTTAACCACCAAAATTTAATAGCATCAATCCTCCTAATAAACAAACCTCCCTGCAAAAGTTCCAAAGTTTTCAATAAAAAGTACAGGAGTTATTAAATTTCTAACAGAGTGAATAAAATTGTACCCTCACACACACAAATTATGCACAATTGTTTTTTTTCTCATTTCTCAATGTTTCAAGGTATCCCAAGTCCAGAAATGTAAAAATCTCGGGGGTCACTTTTTGCCAGATTGCCATACTTTCCCTCTGTATAACAGCCAGAAAAGTAAAAAATACAGTAGTAGAAAGAATTTTAAAACATTTTGGTAAAAATAAATTTCAATCAGGTATTCTAGAAAAAAACTGGGAAAAGATTACTTTATATATATACATATTATAATTTTATTACAGTTTAAACAAAGACAATATTTAAAACAAATATTTGAAAACTTATTTATATGAAAATTTAAAAAATTTAACTTATTGTCAAATAATGGTAACAAATATGAATAACAACCAATTGCAGCTAATAAACTAACTTTATTATGATTATTAATATATTTCATTTATTTTAGTTGATCCCACTCCATAATGATAATATGTTGAACTTGTTGAGAACACTTGTAAATAAATTTTCAAGTTTGTTTAAATTTCTTCTTCTTTTTAATATTGTAATAATACTATAAAATAGGTACTTTTTATATTCACTTATATACTAAGTTATCCAATGTTCTTGAATTAACAATTATCAGACATGTATATATCAGTTATTAAATCTAAAACTCGCAATGCGTCTGCATGGTAAGCAGGAGTTGTGGGTTCAAGTCCAGCTCCAGGCCAATTTTTTCTTCCAGTATTTCTAAATTATTTAAATTAATTAATTAAAAATTATAATTATTAAAGTTAATAAGAGAGTGTGCCTAATGCCTCCCTCTAATGCCAAATTGGTAACATAATTTATTTAGTAATATACCCATATCTAGCCTGATAGAATTCGGCATTGGTTGGTGTCTAGTTATTAAATCATTATATAATAATTTAATAAATAAAAATGATTCTGAAAGGAAAATTATACAATATATTATGTTATCTGCAATGCTAAAAGTTATGAAATAAGAATAATTATTAGTGAGGTTGAGGCCGAAGTTTTAAATGCAAAAACATGTACGTCGGACATTCGGCTCCACTTTCCTGTAAGCCTAGAAGTTTGACAATGGTGTTTGGATAGTCGGTGGAATCATGCTCAACATTCCAAACACCATTGTCAAACTTCTAGGCTTACAGGAAAGCGGTGCTGAACGTCCAATGTACATGCTATTCATTCTATCTCTAACTGCATTACTATTTAACAAAAATTCACTATACCTTTAAAATGCAGTCTAGTTTACATCTGTCGAACGTTTTCGGTCTGATTCACAAACCTTCATCAGGATCGAATTATCAATCGAAATATATTTCAAATTTGCATAACGGAGATTCCAAACTGCACGTTCTTCTCGATTGCGCATGCTCATAAATATAATTTTATAATTTTAAAGTTGCCGCTTTCCATGCCGACGCTATTTTGTTCGATTCACGGAAATTTATATTACGCCCTTTTTCTTTGCTCTTGTAAATGTGCCAGGCTTCTGCATATTTTAGATGTTTTATATTTTTCACTTTTTGTATGACATCTGCCTTGCTCCATTTGATGTCGATCTCTGTTGGATCTGCTATCGCGTAATTGGCCAAAGCCGTGACTGGTTGTTTAAAGCTTACATTCTTTTTGTGCTCCTTCAATCTTTCATTTAATGATCTTTTAGTGGCTCCTATATAATATAACTCCTTATTTAGCCTCCTATCATACAACGGTATTCTGTATACACCTGGGATCAGCCTCCTGTCAACGGGTGTTTTGTCGTTTCTTAGCATTTGAAATATTGTCGTGTTTCTCTTATATGCTATTTTCTTGTTGCTTTCTATTCCTATTTTTCTGTAAATGTTACTTAACTGAGCCCTGTATTCCATTACAGTGAACTCCTTTTTCTCTCTTTTAACTTTACTTTTATTGCCTTCTTTTTCTGCTCGTATTAAGGCTTTTATTTTATTCTCCTTAATTCCTAC